TGTATTCTAAACTGACCTCAATCATCCAGTGATGAAAGGATTAGATTCCAAAGGCTGCTCACCTACATTAAGATGGATCGATAGCAGGGAAGGGAGGTGCTACTTCCTCTTACAGAACACAGTAGTACTGTCTTCCCTATCCAGATACAAGCTGTGCTGTAGAAAATGGAAAATGCACATTATGAAAAACATGGATGTAGGATTCATGTTTTCATACCAGAGAATACGCTTATCTTTTTAAAATTTTTATTTTTAAAATTTGCTTGAGGGGCCGGCATTGTGGTGAAGCAGGTTAATCCTCAGCTACTAAGCATCCCCTATGGGTGTCGGTTTGAGTCCTGGGTGTTCCATTTCCAATCCAGCTCCCTGTTAATGAGCCTGGGAAGGCAGCAGAAAATGATCCTGTATCCATGTGAGAGAACTGGATGGAATTCCAGGGTCCTGGCTTCAGTATGGCCCAGTCCCAGCTGCTGTGGCTTTTTCTCTCTTTGTAACTCTTTCAAATAAATAAATCTTTTTGAAAAAAATTTTCTTTGAAAGGCAAAGAGATAGGGAGAAAGAGAGTGATCTCCCATCTACTGGCTCCCTCCCCAAATTGCAGCAACAGCCAGGGCTGGGCCAGACTGAAGCCAGGAGCTGGGTACTCAGTCTGGATCTCCCACGTGGGTGGCAGGAACCCAAACAGAAGGGCCATCACCTGCTGCCTCCCAGGATGCACATTAGCAGGAAGCTGGAGTAGAGAGCAGAGCCAGGACTAGAACCCAGGTACCCCAATATGGAAAGTGGGTATCCAAGCAGCGGCTTAGCCCTCACCAGCTACCTGCTCCTAAAGATATCCTTTAAATCCAATTTTTCCACAAACTGCTTGAAGTCTCCTTGTAGATCTCCAATCCTACCCTCACAGCTTATTTTCTTTTAATGCAGTTAAATGGGAGACCTTTCAACTTTTCTTCCATCAATGGTCTCTGTAAATTAAGAAAATTTACAGCACAGATTTAGAAAAAGGGCTGTTGACCTCTAGGTATTAAATCTGTACTTCAGAATTCATGTCCCATTTTCATTTCTATTTACTACATTGCAGGCCAGTTCAGCTCACTGCTGCTTACTAATAGAAGCAAAGACTGTGGGCTGTTCTGCTGGGAGTGGACTGACACTAGCTACACCTCAGTTAGCCTTGTTAACCAGCATCCCTTAGCATGTGGTGGGAGGCCAGGGCTGGACTGTTTGACTCCAAGTCAGGAACTTGATCACAATACCATCATAACAAGTTTCCACTTGGTGTTCCCAGTTCAAGGCAGGGTCATGTCCAGATCTGTGTTTTTATTTCTAGTATTGACAAGTCCCAAATGGAGTAAATACAGCCAACCACTCCATAAGAAACATTGCTGCAAGAGTCTTCCTTTGTACTCTGAGAACACACCCTCTTCCGTTTGCCTTCAGCCTTTCTATATTAAGCCAGGTAGGAAAACCAGCAAGCCCACCCTACCAAGTTCATTTATAGCCAGGAAGGAGGGCAGCAAATCAGTGGAGAAAATGCTTTTAAAGCTCTTCAAAGACTAAGAGTTTTCCTATTCATTGCAAACAAACGTGCATCAAGCATACTTCTATCAATGTTTTTCTCATCAGATGGGTGATTGTCCAAACTCAGAACCCTGGAGCCAGGTAAACCTGTCTGCTCCCCGGTCAGGTTGCTGGCTCCTTTCATGGATGGGGCCAGTAGCTCACTTTTGCGGCCTGGACTTGCTTATGTTTGAATATACTTCGGCCTCTCCAAAACTTATGTTGAAATTTGACTGCCATTGTGATGTCAACAGGTGGGGCCTTTAAGAGTGATTGGGGGCCGTCACCACGGCTCACTAGGCTAATCCTCCGCCTTGCAGTGCCGGCACACTGGGTTCTAGTCCCGGTGGGGGCGCCAGATTCTGTCCCGGTTGCCCCTCTTCCAGGCCAGCTCTCTGCTGTGGCCAGGGAGTGCAGTGGAGGATGGCCCAAGTGCTTGGGCCCTGCACCCCATGGGAGACCAGGAGAAGCACCTGGCTCCTGCCATCGGATCAGCATGGTACGCCAGCCGCAGCACGCCAGCTGCGGCGGCCATTGGAGGGTGAACCAACGGCAAAAGGAAGACCTTTCTCTCTCTCACTGTCCACTCTGCCTGTCCAAAAAAAAAAAAAAAAAAAAAAAAAAGAGTGATTGGGTCATTAGAAGAAATTAATACCTTTCTTGTGAGACTGTGTTAATTTAGTTCCTGGGCTGTTATAAAGGCAGCCCATCCCTTGCATTTTGCCTCTTCCATAGGTGCCCGCCTGCCTTCTGCCTTGCATTCATGCTGGGAAACAGCACAAGGTCATCAACAGAAGCTACTAGAAGCCAGTGGCACACTCATGGACATTCCAGCCTGCAGAAACGTAAGGTGAGATAAACCCCCTTTTCAGATAAGTCATCCACCCTCAGGTACTGTTGTAGGGACTGACCCTGGATTAGGACAGGGTCCTTGGCTGAAAGCTTGTGAGTTCAACCACAGTGAGCCAGGAAGCCCCAGGGAGAAGGTTTCAGCCACAGGCAAGGGACTTACTGCAGCTAAGTAGGAACTCCCGAAAATGAGTGGCTCTGAAAGGCTCCGCTGTGCCCCCCTGCCACAAGTAGGGAACAGAGGAGGACAAAAAGGAGGAAAACGTGGAGGTGGGAAAGGGAAGGAGGAGGAGGAAGTGTCAGGGGGAAATTAACATATTATTAAAGAGGTGATATTGGGGCCAGCTCTGTGGCACAGCAGGTAAAGCACCCGTCTGCAGTGCCAGCATCCCATATGGGTGCCAATTCAAGTCCCAGCTGCAGTAGAAAATGGCCCAAGTCCTTGGGCCTCTGCACCAACATGGGAGACCTGGAAGAAGCACCAGGTTCCTGGCTTCGGATCAGCCCAGCTCCAGCTGTTGTAGCTATTTAGGGAGTGAACCAGTGGATAGAAGACCTCTCTCTGCCTCTGCCTCTGCCTTTCAAATAAGTAAAATCTTTGAAAAACAATAAAGAGGTGATACTATGGGATGATACTTTGCTTTTTTTATTTTTGTAGTTTAAAGACGTGAATTCACCTGAAGGCTCTTTTTCTAAGGCACTAACTGAACAAGGTTGTTGACTTTAACATCATCTATAACGGCCAGAAACTGGAAACAAACTTCATGCCCATCAGTAGAGAACTCGTTATGTAAATTACGGAACATCCCTATCATATTTTCAACTCTTTCTTCTGCCTCTATACCCATGAATTAGAAGCTTGCTGCACCAGCTCTGTCTGGCCACCAGGGCTGAGCCATCACAGCCCTTCTCAGTGGAGCTGGGGGTGACAGGAAGATGGGAAAACACGGATTCCACCCTCACCTAGGGGGACATTTGCTACCCACTCCTGACCCATTTAAGAATCTCAGATGTGAGCTACATAATGGTATAGCTGCTCTATCTATATTTACTCATACAGACCTAGGCATTCAAACATAGTGTTATCATTGCCTATAAATTTTTTTTATTAAGTTGCCATAGTTGTTCATTTTTATGGGGTACACACAAAATACTGAATCCTGAAGTCGCTTACAGAGCAGCCATGATTAATATGATCTCATTTATGACAGGCCCTATCAGAGCAGGATGGTCCTCTAATGGGAGCAGGTGTTTCCTCTAGGGGGTAAGGTTTGGGATGTCTGACATTCTTGTTTCTATTTTTGTGACTTATCTCCAGTGAGAACACCTTGTTTTTATAACCAGAAGAAGGCATAAATAAAAAAGCACTTAGATGAATAACTGAATATGCAAAATCAAGGTTAACTACAAGTCCAGTCCAGTTACAAGAAACGTCTCTACCTGACACACAGACTTTCACGTCTCAAGCCTGGGCCTATCTATCATCAGCACTAGTCAATGTGATGAGATTTCAAAACAGAAGACTTTAGATGGTCTCCTGATGTTCCCTCAGGTTCACAGAATAAATATTTGAAATTCCTTTTTTTCTATCATCTTTCCAGCTACAGTCTTTTTTTAATGGGGGGGTGGGGTGGGGCAAACATTCCCTTTCACAAAACTTCTGGAGGCAGGTGTTTAGTCCAGCAGTTGAAACGCCCTTTAAGATGCCCTTATTCCATTTCAGAGTACCTGAGTTCGATACCCAGGTCTGGCTTCTGACTCCAGCTTCCTGCTAAAACACACTATCTGTGGCAGTAGATGGCTCAAGTAATTGGGTTTCTGTCACCCACATTTTTAGTTCCCGATTCCTAGCTTTGACCAGGCCTAGGCATGGCCATTGCAGGAATTTGAGAAGTGAACTCTCGAACAACGACCCCAACCCCCCTGAATTTCTTTTTTTTTTTTTAATTGCACTTTCAGGGCCGGTGCCATGGCGCAGAGGGTTAATCCTCTGCTGGTGGCACCGGCATCCTATATGGGTGCTGGTTCTAATCCCAGCTGCTCCTCTTCCAATCCAGCTCTCTGCTGTGGCCTGGGATAGCAGTAGAAGATGGCCCAAGTGCTTGGGCCCCTGCACCCACGTGGGAGACCACGAAGAAGCACCTGGCTCCTGGCTTCAGATCGGCACAGCTCTGGTTGTTGCAGCCATTGGGGAGGGAACCAATGGAAGGAAGACCTTTCTCTCTGTCTCTACCTCTGTCAAGTAACTCTATAACTCTGTCAAATAAATAAAATCTTTAAAAAATAAATAAATTGTACTTTCAATTCTTACTTTGGTTTTTATCAAGAAAAATTAAATAAAAAGGCCCAGGGTGGGCAGGGGCTGATCACATCACAATATGAGCAACAAATAATAAAGTACTTGAAGAGCAACTCATTATGCTTCATGCCTGGTGGCAGAGTCTCATTTTCTCTGCACTGAAGGAAAAATCTTTCCCTGTGCCAAGTGCAGGGGACAGCACGACACCACCTTTGAGGGGTGGGAGGGCACCGATAACAGGGAAGACAGCTTTGGAGCCGCGTCTCCTTTGTGGAGTCCACACGTATCTTACCCAGCCACTAAGACGTATTTTCCATCTGCTTGGTCCTTTAACCTTTCCAGCAGGGACAAGCGCACTTTGGCTTTGCTTTTGCCATAGATTTCAATTTCCTCTGCGAGCAATCCTATCTCCTTGGCAAGCACATCCACAGCTTTTGGAGTCTGTCCTCTTGAAATCTCGATATCGCTGCGGGGAAAGAAAATACATGAGAGACAAGAGGCTTCTCGGCTCAGGTGGTCGCTGCTGGCGTGAGCTGAAGACGACGCCCCGCCAACAGTGAACTCACGGCCACCACGCGGGCTCCCTTCTCCCGGCCAGCATGAGGCCCAACTGCTAACGATTAACGTGCATGAGAAAATGATGCGTTTTATTTTTCTTTTAGAGAAGTGACTCCAAGAAATTCACAAAGACTCCAGAATTGTGCACAGGCACACAGATAACTCCTATGCCACGGGAGCAGAGAATCGGGTATTACAAAGTGTTCAAGTGCTCTCTGTGGAACACTTGAATTAGAGCGAGCACTGCATGAGGCCCTCTTCTTGGGCTGGCCACATGTGTCTCCTCTATCCAAAACTGTGGAAATGCGGTTTTGTTTTATCTCTATCCATACTTTCCCTCTCTCTTTCCTACTTCCAATCCAGAATCATATTTCAAAATATTTTATTAATTACACAACTGTTGGTAAAAGAACCGAGTGCTCACAGCTCGACTTCAGACTGGGGACATTTTAGGGACTCTGGGGCGTGGCTGGCCCCATAACCGAACTCTTTTCACATAACTGGCCATGCGAGGACGCCACTGCTCGCCAGCCAGGAGCACCCCGAATGCCAGGCTGCGTGGTGGTTGTTCACAGCCCCTGGGCACTCACGGGCTCAGCTGCTTCGTTTGTCAGGGTCCCAGGCAGTGCATCAGACTGAGCAGATGTTGGGGGGTGTGAACTGGAGAGCAGCAAGGCTAACTCGGGGCATGGAGTACGGGAGGCTGGACACAAGAAAACTGCTCCTCCAGGGCACACCAGAGTGGCTCACCCTTCCTGGGCACACCATGGAGCACTTCCTGTGCCACAGCATCTTCAGGCCTCTGCCCCGAAGAGCTACCACTCTCAGCCCTCATCCCACCCTGCGCTCTCCTCCACCGAGCCGCTGTTGGGGGGGTCTGGGATGGCAATAAAGATGCATTAGCCAGACTTCACCAAAAGGCACCTGAGAAGCCAGGATAGGGCAGAGAGGCCCCAGGCCCGAGTGTGAGCTGAGCTCGGGGCCTCTGTCCAGGCAACCCCCTCCTCAAATGCCCCAATCGCCTTCCATTCTGGTCTCCTCCCAGCCACTCGTAACTCTGCAGGCTCCTACCGCACGTGGTCTTCCTAGCTAGACTTTTCTGTTCCTCTTCCCTCACGGGCTCCCACACTGGGGAGCCTACCCTTGGACGATCTCCCAGGCTTTCTCTTCACCAGCTAAAGAGGCCCACTGACGTCGTGTTGATTTTCCGAGTGATTTATAAACAACTCAGCCTGCCTTTCTTTCCCCAGTGGCTCTAGAAAGCAATTTCGGTCACACAAGCACTTTGCCCTGTTGACTTTAAAAGACTTTGGTACACATGCTAGTAAACTCTAAATTTCCTTTCGATCTAAGTAAAATATGCCAATGTACTTTTAAAAAAATGAGGGCCCATTAACAACATAAATAGCTTCAAAACTGAAGATGTTTTATGAAAAGATTGCACAACTGCCCGGATGAAGTTACAAGGAAAAACACTCCTCACTGGAATGTATGCGTTAATGGACACGCGGCATGACTAAGATGTTTAGTCTAAGGCAGGGGTGAAAACTGTACAGTTCTGCCAGCCTGGTGGGTGAGTTCAACCCACAGGGGTCATCTGGCTGCCCACAGGGACAAAGGTCAATTCTAAAAAGCACGGGTTCCCCAGCGAAGAATCAGTCAGTTACTGGAGGGTTTATCGACTTTATCCACCACGAATTCCAAAGCTGCTGGACTTGGGGACTCCCTGGCATTCTACACACCTGCAGAAAGGGGGTCGGCCAGAGACGACTAAGCATGAGGCTGGAAAATGCTTGCTGCTCGCTCAGACATCCTGGCCATCCAGCGATTCCAACTCACATGCTGGGATGACATCCTGCAGCTTGAATTTCCAAATTAATACCAAGAGACTATTAGCTTAGGCCTCCCGAAATACCACTTGGAAGAAAATATCCACAGGATGATCACCGGGCATCTTATCACAGTTCTGAGGAAAGCTGGGGTCAGTTCCCACGTGGAGTGATATCTGCTTTGGTTGCTCATCTGTTTCCAGAGTGGAAAACAACACAGCCCTTAAGAGCAATCTGACGTATGTCTTGAACATGTCTAACGCTGACAAGCATATCCCAACACTGCCTTTTTGCAGCTTGTCAAATCTAAAACTGTTGTTTTAGGGATCACTACCAAGAACAAACACTGCCGTTGAAACAAAATGAAAAATACGTGTTCTTAGAATTGATGAGACTACAGTAAACCAGTTCAATATGATTCCGTTTTGGAGGAACTATGATAGAGAAAGGTATGGCCATCTGATGATGATTAGAGACAGTTCCTCCCCATCAAAACAAAAATGCCATGCGTCCTGCCGCCAGCCCAGCAGGGACTCCGGGGTATGGATGGCACTCGGGTGAGCTGGCCTCGGCAGAACCAAAGGCGAGGTCTTACCTGGGCACGGGGGAGAGAGGCTGCAGTTTCAAGCAGTGAAGTCTCCACCTCCTGTGCTGCTGCTCGCGAAGCCATCTCCTGCCACTGCTGACCATGTTCTTTGGGGACAGAGAGGCAAGCACACGTTAGGACAGTAAGCTGACGGGGTGCAGCCAGCCCATGACAAGAGGGTGCCTGGGTGTTACACGACAGCCAAGAGCAGATGGTCATGCAGTAATCTGGGTGACCGCTGGTGACAATTTTATGCACGTATAATTAGGTTTGGGAGTTTTCTTAAAAAAGAAAACGTGAGATATAAGTATTGTTTATGATTTCCTGAGTGTTCACCGGAGACACTGAGTGTGCAGATAAAATTACACTTAGTGGGTTCTTCATCTCAGTTAGGAAAGAAAAACGAGGAAAATACGAGGCAGCACAATGACTAGCTTGGCGCCACACCATTTCAATGTTACCCTTCTACAACTGGTGTAAGAGCAAGCAAACTGAATAAGGAAAGAGAGATAAATGTAAAAAGGGAATTACAAGAGAAGTTCATGTTGCTGCAAAACACACGCAGTTTTTTCATAATATTCATTCTTCATACATTTTTTGGAGAGCCCTCAGATATGCATATGCATAAATAGAAGTACATTAAAATAAATGGAAGCAAAGTTTTATTTTATTTGAAATGTAATTCATACTCCCTACAAAAATGTACAATATCCTATTTTGAGGTAAGAAGCTTTAACTGTGCATTATCTCATAAGAAATAAACTACGTAAGAAAGAAGCGACCTAAAGCCTGCCTCTGGGCGGTGCAGGCAATCAGAGGGTTGGTTTTCCGCACTGCTCGTGAGTGCCACGGCCAGCAGACACTGCCCACGCGCGTGGGCCCAGCCTATCTATCGAGGTGGAGAAAAGGGCACCTAGGGTCTACCGAATTTCTTAATGGTCCTGTCTTCAAAAGCTGAGCCCGCCTCTCCTTTGTATGGGCATCGGGCTAGTGACTGGCTTCTAACAAACAGGACAAAGGAAGTGGCTACGTGTGATCTGGCAAACTAGGTCATAACACACTCTGCTTCCGCTGTGGTCCTCTGCTTTGGATGGGGAGAGGCTGGCGTGGAGAGCAGCCCTGTGATGAGGGCCTCGTGCTGAGGGACAAGGCACCTGCAAAGGGCCCACACAGGCGTGTGCTCCGCCCTGGAAGCGGATCTTCAGCCCTGGTGAAGCCTTTAGACAGCTGGGCCCTCAGGCGACCTCTAGCTTTCACACGCATGAACGACCCTGAGCTACCAGCTAACCTGCTCCTGCAAACTGGGAGGTAACCACTGTCTGAAGTTGCTAAATTTGGGGATAATTTGTTACACAACAATAGACAACTAATACCCAGACTCTGACTTGGGTCCCTAGCTCATACCTGTCATGTGATCACACACAAGTAACTGATTTTATTTTTCCTAAGTCTCCATTTCCTCATTTATCAAATGGTATTTAAAGTGTTTAACCTTACATCTGGTAAATTAAAAAAAAAAAAAAGCAAAAAACAAAGAAACACTTGCAAAATGTTAGCAAGTATTAATCAAACCTCCAAAGTCAGTATTTTCAAAGCGCCGTGTGCGCCGTGTTCCACAGACCTGAATCCTCAGAGCTGCAGCAAGAAGACTCACATCATCTTCGGCAATGGAGCCCCCACAATGCACCCCGTGAGAACCACAGCCAAGCTTCTCTGTGAAAAATGGGAGGAAAGTCAGGTATCACCAACTGCCTTTAGCAGGAAGCCTGGACACTGAATAATGTCCTCACTTTTCAACCAAGGAAGTCAGGATGTCAGGGCATCGCCTTCGGTCTCTTTTACATTAGAGAAGTATCCATCTAAACCATTAACCTGGGATAAAATGGAGGTGTAACTTACTCAAAATTGCACCATGTTTTGAGACAGCATTTCTCACACTGAACCAGAGGGAAACAGCTAGGCACACAGTCTCTCCAGACAACCCCAAGTATCATATTGGGTCTTTTCAAAACGGCACCATTAGAGATAAACGCACCCAACAGTTCACAGGCAACATCCGTCACACATCACAGGAGGAAGCAAGACCCGCCAACTGGACTGCACATTTTTGAGCCGGAACAGGATTATAACCACGACTCCCCCTCTAAGGAGCAACTGGAAGTGAAATGGGCTCAGCGTACAGCATGTTTAAACCATCAGAGGGAAGGGCGTGCTGGAGGAAGGGGCTGGGGACAGGTGACCCGCTGCACTGTCAATGCAGTATCCTAAGCTGCTCAGTTCTGGACACAGTAGGGCTTCATGAGAAGTATCTGCAATCTTTATTGGACAATATACAGAAAATAAACGCAATTTCGCCTGTGAACACAGGCAATGGAGGAGGATGGAAACATACATAGGGTACGGCACTGAGGGTAGAGCAGTCGCCTGAGACGTCTGCACCCCAACTGACAGTGCTGGTTGGGCCCTGGCAGCTCTGTTTCCAATCCAGCTACCTGCTAATGTGCTTGGGAAGCAGCACATGACAGTTCAAGTAACTGAGTCCCTGCCACCATGTGGGAGACTTGGAGTTCCTGGGGCCTGGTTTCAAGCTGGACCTCCCCTGGCTATTGTGGCCATCTGGGGAGGGAACAAGGGACAGAGAAGTCTCTCTCTGGTCCTCACTCTTTCAAACCAACCAACAAACAAATCTTTCTAAAAAAAAAAATCCTTATTGTAGAAGTGATAATGTCCAACATTCCACCAAAACTAAGAGTATTCATTTAAGGATATTTAGGAAATAACTGGTCTTCAAACTCAAAAGGCACTGAGGGGCCGACGCTATGGTGTAGCAGGTAAAGCCGCCTCCCACATGGGAACCAGTTCAAGTCCTGGTTACTCCACTTCCTATCCAGCTCTCTGCTATGGTCTGAGAAAGCAGTAGAAGATAGCCCAAGGCCTTCGGCCCCTGCACCTGCATGGGAGACCTGGAAGAAGCTCTTGACTCCTGGCTTTGGATCAGTGCCGCTTTGGCTGTTGCAGCCATTTGGGGAGTGAACCAACATATAGAAGACCCCTCCCCCTTTCTCTCTGCCTCTCCTTCTCTCTCTGTGTAACTCTGACTTTCAAATAAATAAATCAATCTTTGGAGAAAAAAAAAAAGGCACTGATAAGAATTCTACTTTTCCCTCCTTCAGTTATCACTTACACAAATCTATGAAAAGTAAACACACATGCAAAAATTTGTAGCAAGCATCCTCCCTTAGAGAACAGAAATGTTTCTAATAGCAACTTTTTGGAAATAAACTATTTTCTCCTTTTGTTCCACTCTACTCTTAAATGATCCACTTTGCTGACAGTCCTTTGTGGGAAGGAGCACAAAGCACTTCAGAGTATGTGTTGTGTGATGTTCTCCTGTCAAATGGATTAGGTGTGGGAAAATCACATCCCCCAGGTATTGTTGAAAGATTAGCAACACTTCAGTTTTATAAATTGTGTTTAGGCAAAAGCCAAGAGGCCAGAGGCAAGAGAGGCTTGTTTTGTTTTGTTTTAACCACCAGAGAGCTGATCTTGTCCAACTTCTAGGAGGAAAAAAATGCTTCTCTCATTCTTTCTTTAAGTGATGGAGAAATAAGACAAAATTATATTCCAGGGGCTGGTGTCAATTTATAAACGCAAGTTTCCAGAATCGAATCACAAATATTCAAGTGAGTGAAGAATATTTCACCTCCACAGTGTCACTTGCATTAACATAAACTTAGCAATTGTAAGGATTTGCTATTTTGACAACTGTATGATTGCTGATGTCTAAACCTGTATTAAAAATAATTTATTAATTAATTAATTTTATTTGAGAGATAGAGAGAGGAGAAAGTAGTGGAGGAATGAAGGCTGTAAGAGAGAGAGAGAGAGAAAGACAAGAGAAAGAAATTTCCCGTTCACTGGTTCACTTTGCAAATGCCTGCAATCACCAGGTTGGGAGCAGACTGGAGCTGGGAACTCAATCTAGGTCTCACCCAGGTGGAGGTCAGGGACCCAACTACTTGGGCCACAACTGTGGCCTCAGAGTGTACAAAGCAGGAAGCTGGAATCAGGAGCAGTGTGGAGACTCCAACCAGGCACTCTGATATGTGATGTGGGCATCGCAAGTGACATCTTAACTATTGCACCCAACATCCCGCCCTTTACAGATAATGTCAACAAGAGAATTGAGCTAGGTGAACAAAAGGCATGATTAACAAAATGAAATAAAGACATAATGTATCTGTCTCAGGACGGCAGGCAGCACACATGGTGCAATTCTCTCTTTATAACCAAAATTTGATTTGAGGCAACTGAAAGGGAAATAAAGCCTTTTTACAATAGTAAAACGGGTGTCCTGAATGGAGCAGAAATGTCAGAAATTTGTGGAACAAATTTGTGGAACAAAGTAACAAATAGGAGCAGACTGATGAGAAACCAGGAGAGAAGAATCTAAAATCCCAAATACCAAGGAATGCCTGCAAGAAGGTTCAACGCTTTCCTGGACAAACCCAAAGCTCCAAGTCACCAGATATCAAAAGCAGGCATGGAGCCGGTGCCGAGGCTCACTAGGTTAATCCTCCGCCTGCGGCACTGGCACACCGGGTTCTAGTCCCGGTCGGGGCGCCGGATTCTGTCCCGGTTGCCCCTCTTCCAGGCCAGCTCTCTGCTGTGGCCAGGGAGTGCAGTGGAGGATGGCCCAGGTGCTTGGGCCCTGCACCCCATGGGAGACCAGGAGAAGCACCTGGCTCCTGCCTTCGGATCAGCGCGATGCACTAGCTACTGTGTGCATGAAGGCGGGACTCACCTCAGAGCCCGACCACGGTGGGACCTGGGAGACACCCTTCGATCAGGGCCCAACAGGGGTCCTGTCCCCAGAGTGGACAGGTCTTTCCTGCTTTCTACTAGACACTCTCCCTTAACCCACACTTCCTCCAGGCGTAAGTCAATGAATGATTTTAACAGATGGCCTTTGGCTTTTGATTTTTCTTATGATAACCACACTTCCTGCAGAAAGAAAATTTAAGGCTTGAGTGTTAGTGTGCTTTCCCTGACATTTGCCTTTTGACATTACCTTGGGAATATTCCCTGAACAATAACCTCCATCAAGGCAGGGCAAGGCCAAGTCTTGGTTTTCCCACCATCTTGGCCGTGGGATACATCCCTGCTTTTATGCTGTCTGGCCTAGGGTACCCTCCCTATTGCAATCCATAGATCAAACTATAAAATGCTTTTTTCCCATCGAAGAGAACAAGTTGGTCCAAAAAACTTAAATCAGACAATAGTACAAGAAGAATCTTTTGAAAAACACTGGTGATTAATTTTTTCAAAGTAATGGACTTTTTTCCCCATAATGTATTTATTTATTTGAAAAAATTATGAGGGCCGGCACTGTGGCCCAGTGGGTTAACGCCCTGGCCTGAAGTGCCGGCATCCCATATGAGCACCAGTGAGTCCCAGCTGCTCCACTTCTGATCCAGCTCTCTGCTATGGCCTGAGAAAGCAGTAGAAGATGGCCCAAGTCCATGGGGCCCTGGCCTGTGTGGGAGACCCAGAGGAAGCTCCTGGCTCCTGGCTTTTGGATCGACACAGCTCCAGCCTTTGCGGCCATCTGGGGAGTGAACCATCAGATGGAAGGCCTCTCCTACGCTCGCTCACTCTCTCTCTCTGCCTCTCCTCTCTCTGTGTAACTCTGACTTTAAAATAAATAAATAAATCTTAAAAAAAAAAAAAAGAAAAAATTGCGGGCCGGCACTGTGATGTAGTGGGTAAAGCCGCCACCTACAATTCCGGCATCCCATGTGGGCACCAGTTCGAGACCCGGCTGCTCCACTTCCGATCCAGCTCTCTGCTATGGCCTGGGAAAGCAGCAAAAGATGGCCCAAGTCCTTGGACCCTGCACCGATGTGGGAGACCCGGAAGAAGCTCCTGGCTTCAGATTGGCACAGCTCCTATGTTTGGGGAGTGAACCAGTGGATGGAAGACCCCTCTCTCTGTCTCTACCTCTATCTGTAACTGTCTTTCAAATAAATAAAATAAATCTTTTAAAAAGAAGTTAAATATATAGGTTTTGTAGGATACAAAGTAAAAGAGAATAAATGAAATAAACATGAATGATTTAGCTTAATTTTTGTGACAGTGCTCTCAAGAGTTATACTCCTGCTTAAATCATTTGAATCTCACTATCAGTAAGAGTATATAACAACTGTTCAAAAGATGAAGGAAGGAATATGATGAAAATATTACTTTGGGGTCCAGCACTATGGCATAGTAGGTCAGGCCTCTCCCTGCAGTGCTGGCATCCCATATGGGTGCCAGCTCGAGTCCTGGCTGCTTCACTTCTGATCCAGCTCCTTGCTGATGGCCTGGGAAAGCAGTGGAAGATGGCCCAAGTGCTTGGACCCCTGCACCCATGTGGGAAATCTGGAAGAAGCTCCTGGCGCCTGGCTTTTGATCGGCCCAGCTCCGGCCGCTGAGACCACTGGGGAGTGAACCAGCAGAAGGAAGACCTCACGCTGTTTCTCTTTGTCTCTGTAACTGTAACTCTACCTCCCAAATTAAAAAAAAAAAAAAGGTAAATATCACTATGAACTTAATGCAGTCCTTTTGAAACTACTGAAAATAAATTATCAAGGAATTAATACCAGGCTGCATATTCTACATAGCTTGAGCCTTTTAAAAGAACAAAAAATAAATTACATTATATTGAGAAATAAATAAAAACTTGAAATGGAAAACTGACAATATTTCTCAGGGACAGACTCAAAACACCTGGACCGTCCAAGGAAAAGCTAAGAACAAAACATAAAGAGAGAAGATCCAATAGGTTTTGGAATGATGAAAGTTCAGAAGTCATAAATAAATATCTGTACGGTCACCTGATTCTAAATGCCTTAGGATAGTGATTAAGAGCCAGGCAACATCTACTTTCCTAAAGCTGCCTGCCTACTACCTTCTCAGAATCCCACTGGAGTTCCTCCTTCGCTGGGCTGGCCTTTCAGATACGCACTCGCATTCTGCAAACTTGCTGTCAGGAAGTTACTTTGTGCATTGGCAACAGGGTAACGATGCCATGGAGAAGCTGGGCAGAGAAGCAGCCCAAACTTTACTGCCAGCTGTGAAAGCAGCAAGGCACCTGAGGTTTCATCCCACTTGTTCCTCCCAACAGCCCTGCTCCCATTTTACCCAGAAGGTAACTGAGGATTAGAAAGTTCAAGTTTTTGGGGCTGGCGTGGGGGCACAGTGCATTAATCTGCCTGCAATGCTGGAATCCCATACCTGCGTAAAAGCTTGAGTCCAAGCTGCTACACTATTTTTTTTTAAAGATTTATTTATTTACTTGAAAGTGAGGGTTACACAAAGAGAAGGAGAAGCAGAGAGAGGGAGGGAGGGGGGGAGAGAGAGAGAGAGGGAGAGAGAGAGGGAGAGGGAGAGGGAGAGGGAGAGGGAGAGGGAGAGGGGAGAGAGAGAGAGAGGGAGGGGGAGAGAGAGAGAGAGAGAGAGAGAGAGACAGAGAGGTCTTCCATCCATTGGTTCACTCCCCAATTGGCTGCAATGGCCGGAGCTGCACTGATCTGAAGCCAGGAGCCAGGAGCTTCTTCTGGGTCTCCCATGAGGGTGCAGGGACCCAAGGGCTTAGACCATCTTCTACTGCTTTCCCAGGCCATAGCAGAGAGCTGGATTGGAAGTAGAGCAGCAGGGTCTTGAACCAGCGGCCATATGGGATGCCGGCACTGCAGGCAGCAGCTTTTACCTGCTATGCCAGGGAAAGCAGTGGAAGATGGCCCAAGTACTTGAGCCCCCACTATCCACATAAGAGACCCACATGGAGATCTGGGCTGCTGGCTTCAGTCTGGCTTCTCCTTTGCTGTTGCAGCCGTTTAGGGAGCAAACTAGTGGATGGAAGGTACATCTCTTTCTCTTTTTATCACCCCACCTCCCACCTTTCTGTTACTTACTCTACCTTTCAAATAAATGAATATTTGTTTAAAAATAAGTTTTAGTTACTTGCTTGAAGTCACACAGTTTATAAGTGCAATGCAATTAACAGTTAAAAACAGAAGCTTAACTCTCTTCTATTTGAGTCAGGTTAACTCTAACTCCAAAATGCATGCTCTTTGCACTACATTCTCCATCTCCCTTCAGAGACAGACCAGGTTCCTAGGGCTTTTCTGGTCCGTGAGCACAAGCCCTGGGCTGCAGCCAGGGGTTCTACTCTGCACCACACAGAACTGTGTTAGCTGAAAATGATGCTGTAAATTGTGCTGAACTGTGTTTTCTGGGCCCAGCTTCTCCTCTGTACCATTTGGGACATCAACAGGTAAGTCCTGGGGCCAGCACTGTGACACACTGGGTTAAGCCACTGTCTGCATCCCAAATGGGCACCGGTTCATGTCCTGGCTGCTCCACTCTCAATCTGCTCCCTGCTAACGGCCTGGAGAAATCATCGGGAGAGAGCCCAAATGTTTGGGTCCTGCCACCCACAAGGGAGACCTGGATGAAGCTCCTGGCTCCTGTCTTCGGCCTGGCCCAGCCCTGATAATTGCAGCCATCTGGGGAGTGAACCAGCAGATGGGAGATCCTCATTCTGTCTCCTTCTCTCGCCTTCTGTTATTCTTTCAAATAAATGAATAAATCTTAAAAAAAAAAAAAAAAGGTAAGTCCTAATTGTTGGGGTACAAAATGTTCTTGTTTTGGGTAAACTCTGCTCTTTGGCAAGCATGGCAAAAGTTAGAGCTAGTTAACAGGAGAATGATACTCCCTGTTTTGAAATCTAAACATTGGAATCAAGCAATAGAAGTGAGGTGTAATTGTTTTCTGAGAAGTGGTTCTGGGCTATCAGCCATCAGGAAAATCTCTTCTAGGATTAGGTATTAAATAACGCACCCCTGCAGAATTACCTCACCATAAATCACCATATCCCATTTATTTTTACAGGGTGGGGAGGGACCCTGTGCCATTACAGCACAGAATGAAAATTTCATTATAAAACTCTGCCTGCACCCAGCCACAAATGTATTAAAAATTCTCCTTCTGGTCTCAAGTTTAAACAAAAGCACGTTTCTTTTTAATAATATTTCAAAAAGGTCTATTCATTTGTTTAAAGTGTCAAGATTATAAAGAAAAGAGAAGGAGAAAAAAATCTTTAATTCACTCACAGGCTGAATTTTCATACTACTTCAAGTTGGTAAAGTTGTAACTTTATTTGGAAATGCCCATCCATTCACTCAGCAAAGCACTCATTATCTTTGTCAACAGCTGTCCTGTCACCCTGCTTTCATGTGAGAGGTCCAAACACCTCTAAAGTGCAACTAACCCCAAACCACGAATACAGCCTTGAGTGCATGACCCACTTACTCAACTCTCAACATTGACTAAGCGTGCATGGCCAGCTGGGCACTCTTCCAGGCACTGCACACTCAAAAATCAAGGAGAAAAGTACCGCCACTGGACTAGATAAAATAAATGAACTGCAATCAGTCTACTTACAGAACTGCTCGATCAACATTAAACACCGTAGTCTTTTCTCTCCCCCACAAAACAATCATTATAATGGAATCTACTATTTTCAGGAATATTTTTTTCAAAATCAAAGGCTCAAAAAAGAAATCTGATTTAAAAATAAGGCAGAGGCCAGGGTTGTGGCAAAGAGGGTTACGCCAACACTTGATGTGACACCAGTATCCCATGAGTGAAGGCTCTAGTCATGGCTGCTCACCTTACAATTTGGCTCCCTGCCAAAACACCTGGGAAAACAGCAGAAAATGGGCCAAGAACTCCAGCCCCTGCCACTCACGTGGGAGACCCAGCTGGCTTTCCAGGCTCCTGGCTTCAACCTCCCCTAACCTTGACAGTTGTAGCCATTTGGGGAGTGAACCAGTAGATATAAGAGCTCTTTCTCTCTCTGTCTCTCCCTGTATCTCTGTCACTATTTCAAATAGATACTTAAATTAAAAAAAAAAAGGGGGCTATTTGCTATTTTTTTAAAATGTCACTTTCATATAATAATAATAAGGCAAAGGGTTTCCAAAAGGACACTGAAATAGACTCTCCTATTTCCAGCAAGGATTGGGCCAAAACTGTTCTAAATATCAACTTTATTGAAAGACACCACATCTCATTGCAGCAAAGAAACATTCACTTAAAGGGAGACAAAGGGCATGACTGAAATCCTAATCTACCGGGAATTCTGATCAAAGCAGCCCATGGGTCTCATCACTACTGATGGGCCAGGCATTGGATTTTCAGGGGAAAAAAAAAAAGTCCTACACAAAAGCAACACAAACCGTATTTTCAAGTTACTCAGTGTGTGCCTTCTGTTTGTTAAGGAGAGCAGCGCATCTCACAGTCTTATTATATTGTGCCTCTCTAATGCTTCATTCATCCATGAGCTCTTTTTTTTTTAAGGATTTATTTATTTGCAAGATAGAGTTATACAGAAGCAGAAGGAGAGAGAGAGAGAGGCCTTCCATCCGCTGGTTCACTCCCCAAATGGCCACAATGGCTGGAGCTGGTCTGATCTGAAACCAGAAGCCAGGAGCTTTTCCCAGGTCTCCCACGTGGTTGCTGGGGTCCAAGGATGTGGGCTATCCTTTACTGCTTTCCCAGGCCATAGCAGAGAGGTGGATCAGAAGTGGAACAGCCGGGACTCGAACCTGCCCCTGCCCTCAGCCCAGCTCAGCACAGTCCTCTTCCACACACTGGAATCTGCAGGCCAAAGCCAAAAGTGGCAAGGAAAGAGGCTCCTTGGTCTCCCTGCACCATTGACTCCTGCATACCCTGTATTCTTCGGGGGCCTGGAGGTGGTCCAAGGCTTTCTTAGAGTCTAAATTAGAAAAAGGCACCCACTCTGGGCCAGCTCCTACTGGTCCTCTTGGCTAGGTGCCCTAATGCGGGTACAGCTGCCCCAGAGGTAGACCTCTGTGGTCCAGGGTATTTGAGCTCCTTTGTCAAAGCTCCAAACAATCCCAGTTCCAGTCCTAGAACCGTTTGTTTCTAATGGTGCTTTTCACGCTGTTTAGGGGTGACTTTGGGGTTCCGAGGGAGTGCAGTAGGGCTTACTGCACAGGAATGCCAGGCAGACAAAGGCTGGATTCCACTCCTGCTCTCCCGGTCATTCTGCTAGTACCTGCTCTCAATGTGGTGAGATTCAGCTGAGATTTCTTTGCAGGAAAAGACTCCGCCACTTTTTAAGAGTTTCTAGGTTATCTTACACATGCCAATCATCTACTATAGGTCACAGCAGATGCGACTGCCAGTACTGGAGGCCAGCAAGGGGACACTTCCGTGTGGCAGGAGGAAGAGGCAGCCACCTGCGGCAACATCTGGGTTGTGACGTCAGGAAGCCCAGGAGAGCACACTGGCGTTCCGAGCAGCCTCTGCCATACACTTATGCAGACAACACCAACGCTTCGGGAACACGCTCTTCCTCCCGTGAACAAGGGCGAGGCCTTGTGCTAACAACCTCACTGGCCTCACGCAGCAGCCCAGCACCGACGGTAGGGCTTTTACCTGACATGAAGCTGTGGAAGCAGTTGAGAACCGTAGTTCCTGGCCGTATCCACGCCACGGGAATTTTTTCTGGCTTAGGTGAGCCCAAGATCACAATGTCGGCTTCTTGAAGCTGAAAAGAAAAAACCCACTTTGATCTGCAGCCTCAGCACATGGGTGACTACTGATGTCAGATGGCTGATGTAACAGGCACCAACATGGAGTGGTGCCAAGCTGCTGACCCAGGTGCCAGCGCTCTCCTAATTCCTTTCAGGCACCCGTTGGTACAAATAGAGCATGAGTTATAGCCTCAAAGGAAAAGAAAATGGGACTTTAAAAAGTGGTGCTAAATTTTAAGTTATGATAATGTAAAATGCTACTGATACCAATGTCCAAAAGTTAATGATCTTGTGTTGTTATCAGACTTGATTTTTTTTTTTATTTGACAGATAGAGTTAGACAGTGAGAGAGAGACAGAGAGAAAGGTCTTCTTTCCATTGGTTCACCCCTCAAATGGCCACTATGGCCGGCACTGTGCAGATCCGAAGCCAAGAGCCAGGTGTTTCCTCCTGGTCTCCCATGGGGTGCAGGGCCCAAACACCTGGGCCATCCTCCACTGCCCTCCCAGACCACAGCAGAGAGCTGGACCGGAAGAGGAGCAACCAGGACTATAACCCGGCACCCATTCAGGATGCTGGCGCCGCAGGCAGAAGATTAACCAAGTTCGCCACGGCGCCATCCCCCAGACTTAATTATCTTAAAGAGAAAGTCCCAGAGGTCTAAAGGGGGATGTTCTATAAAACCCTACAGGTAATAAAAAAAAATACTGTGTGGAGTGCACAAGTGCCTCTTCTTGTTGGTTAATAAGTTCATAACTTTAAACGAGGCCATTTAAAGTCTTTTGCCACCCACAGTTTTGTATATCAGATTTACTGCTTCTGAAGTTAAAACATTATTGGTTGTTTTAATGTGTCCTCTTTCAGGTTCTCTGACCTCTATTGTATTCAATACTTTGGGACAGTTCTGTAAGCAAATAAAGTCAATAATGTGCTACAGGTTCCAACTTAGATTAATTCAAGTTATTAAGAGCAGGGAGTAATTCTAATCGACTGATTGTTTAAAAAAAAAAAACTAAGGATTTTAGGAAACTATTACTGAAATTGCTTTATTGTTCTATCTTGTATGTTATTTTATACATGTGCATATTATATGTCTACATGGGAAAATTATTTATGAAGAGTTCTGTTTTAATTGGCCTATAGGTAAAATATTGCTCATAAATTTAAACTGCTAAGTTAACTGAAGATACCTTTTTGGTTCATGTGACCTAAATCTCTGTACCAGATGTTTTAAATTTGTTGACATATTTGTACTTGGGTTTGCTGGTCAAACAAGTTAGACCTATGTTAGATATTTACGCAATGTTTCCAAATACATACACTCTTGAAATTTATAGAAGGCATTGGACCTTTCTGTAAATGTTTTCATTAGTTATTATTTAACAGTTAAAACTGTTTGCTGAGTTTTCATTTGATATTGTTATTGACAGTAAGCGATCTGGGAAGGCTAACTTGTTCCCTCATTTCTCTTCAAGGAAACTAATTCTATTCTGAAGAACTCTCCAGGATGTACAATTTGATCTTTAGATCTTTTAAAATGGATCCCTAACATTTTTCTATAATAATAGCATGGCCAAAATGAGAGCTTAAATTATGATTTCACGGCTAGGTTTACTTTGCCATGGGCACAGTAAACAGGCAAAACCTCCCTTTCAGACCAAAGGAAGGGAGTTTTACTAATGTCATCAAATTTTACAGATAGGGTGGTCCTCGTGTTTGATTTCAAAGTGAGAACATAACTTTCCTCAAGGGAACTGTTGACCCTACCTCATAGAAACACCACCACCAGAACACGGCTGTGACTATGGACTTCTAGCTCAGGCCACCAAAGATTAGAGATGGGGGACTTGAACACCTCCTTGACTTGCCTCCTCTTAAAGGTTTCCTCCGGTCTGCTTTACTAGGCAGCAGAAATAATGTGAAGATAGGTGGCAGCCAATTAATGGCTGCTCTGCCCAGTGATCTGCCATCAAGGAGACACAGCAGGCAAGTCCACTGCATTGGTTTTCCATGTGGAAAGCCAGGGCTTCAGCAGAAGGCAGCTTATGAAGAGCCCTGGCCGCTCTGCCAGCCAAGAGCTGGGTCACTGGAAAGCGAACTAGCCTGGAATCAAAGGATTCCCAGGTCAGAGCTGCAGACCTTGTTGGTTCTAAGCTGAAAAGCCCTTCACTCAGCCCTGCTTCCAAAGTGACCATTGCTGTAGAGGGGACGGCCAAGTAGCGTCAGCAACATTGCAGGCAGAACTGTAAGTTAACTAAAAATGTTTTCCTTTAAGAGATGCCACCTGCCTTCTCTTCAAGCCAGCTCTCCTCCCAGGCCAGCTAGGTAATGGAAGTCAACAGGGTGCCTTCCCTAAGGAGGTTCACACCTCTCTTATGATGTACCCCATGTGAAGAGATAGATAGGTCTCGGCCTGGTAACTGGCAAGGCCTTATAGCCCACCTGATTATTATCAGGCCCCTTCTGTCAGTTTCTATTTGCCTCTCAATGGGAAAACTTGCTCATGGTTTAGATAGCACCTTTCTTAAGTCATTTAATAAGGACTCTGTCCTTTGTTTTAGACTCTGAGTTTAAACTGCTTCTTAGATTCATTTTCTCCAGACTTGAAACAGTGACATTCTAGGTGGTCATGAACATGAAACCTTGGATGGAAGCAGTTTCTGCAAGCTGGCACTGCGTCCCCTGGAGAAGCCACTTCCTGCTGGAACCCTGTCTTGTCTGCAGTTCTCACCAACGTGCCTTTCAGCATGAGGCAGCCAGAGCGATCATGGGCCAGTCCCCCTCTCAGGTGTTTGGGTTCATTCTTCTCGAGGGGGGAAAGTGAGGAGTCAGACGCATTAATAGGCAGGGTGGTCCCAGTGGAATTTGGGGTGTAGAATGCTTGCTACCCCCAAAAGGTTATCTTTAGCAAGATCAAAATGTCTACCCTCCTTCCTTAGGATTCTCCAAATTTACCAGAATAGCAGGGGAGTGGTGATTCCAACGTCCTGAGCTCACAGTTTATTGTGAAAACAAGTTACCTATGCCACCCTTCTGGATGGTTTTTTGTTTTATCATGAGCAAGCAGATAGGATAGAAGACTGTAAATCAGGTCTTTTGATGGGTTTTGTCTCCACCTTGTATCTGAATGTCAATCAAACTTGTGCTTAAAAACTCGACTGCTGGGTCCAGCACAGTGGCATAGAGGGTAAAGCCGTGCCAGTAGTGCCAGCATCCCATATGGACACTGGTTCGACTCCCAGCTGCTCCACAACCAGTCCAGCTGTCTGCTATGGCCTGGGAAAGCAGTGGAATATGGCCCAAGTCCTTGGGCCCCTGCACCTGTGTGGGATACCCAGAAGAAGCTCCTGGCTCCTGGCTTCAGAATGGCGCAGCTCCAGCTGTTGTGGCCAATTGGGGAGTGAATCAGCAGATGGAAGACCTCTCTGCTGCCCCTTCTCTCTCTGCATAATGTGGACTTTCAAATTAATAAATGAATCTTTTTTTTTTTTTTTTTTTGACAGGCAGAGTAGAAAGGTCTTCCTTCCATTGGTTCACCCCCAAAATGGCCACTACGGCCGGTGCACTGTGCAGATCCGAAGCCAGGAGCCAGGTACTTCCTTCTGGTCTCCCATGCGGGTGCAGGGCCCAAGGACCTGGGCCATCCTCCACTGCCTTCTCCAGCCACAGCAGAGAGCTGGCCTGGAAGAAGAGCAACTAGGACAGAATCCGGTGCCCCAACTGGGACTAGAACCTGGGGTGCCGGCACCACAGGCAGAGGATTAGCCTAGTGAGCCACAGCACCGGCCATAAATAAATCTTTAAAAAAAAAAAAAACACAAACTCGACTGCTATGGACCACTTGGGATTTTTTTCCTCTCTTTCCCCCTCCATACTGCTCTGGGTGGAGTTCTTTGACTCTTATAAATCTTGCTTTTTAAATCTCAAACAAACAAACAAAAAGTCTCCAGTATGGTCTCCAGCAATACACAGTCTGTGCAGGATTATGGTTCACACTAGCTGTAGTATCAACAAAAATGGTGGGGCAAAAAAAAAACAAAAACAAAAACAAAAAAACACTACAATGATGGCATCAGGAGACAGAAAGGAGACAGGGTGGGAGGTGTTCTGAGTCAGGAAGTGGCCTGGGCGGAAACAGGGGCAATGGTGAGCCACACTCAGTCTAGGAGAAAAACAGGAGCCACACGTAGGTCTGACCAGCAGCCTGGACGAGCACCATCTGCAGACGCTGACACAAAGCTCCTATCTGTGTGTCCATGGAAGAACTGTCTGGAGCTGGAGCAAGAATCCTCTCTTCCTTGAGGCCCTGGGTATTCTTGTCCAACGACTCCATTTTTGTTCTACCTGAAAAAGAGTTTCCTCCTCTGCAAACCACGCGGCGTGGCCATCCTGCTGGGTTTGATGGTACAGCACGGCAGGGCCACGGCTGCCAGGAAGGCTGCATCTGGAAGCAGGGCAGAAGCTGGGCTCCAGCCCTACCGAGAGCTGACACCTGTCCAGGCACCACTAAGCAGCGGCTGGTTTCAGACTGGCTCCACGTGTGGAAGGGGAACAAGCAGGGAGTATTAGACTCCGGGAAGGAGACGGCCACCATCGGGCAGGTGGAAGAGCGGTAAGTTATTACTGGAGAGCCAAACACATGCGGGTGGTGTGACGACGCTGATTAGCAAACAAGGAAACAACGTTCACAGAGTGTAATTAAACCTACAGGAGGTCCTGTTTCTCCCAGTGCAGCCGGCCCTGGAGACAGCCTAGGAGGGAGAGATTGGAGAGCTACTGCCCCTCACTTTCCAACACCGACAGTCCTCCTGCCACTATCTGTCCCACCTACTTCATTGCAGACTCTCGGCTCAACAGACAGAAGAGTGGAAGACAAAACCTCCATGACCATGCCACGAAGCCAGCCAACCACCCAGCACGCAAACATACTCTACACCTGCTCATAAATTCTCAGCTGGGACGGGCTGACCTCTGCAGACCCGGGAGCGCAATGAGCCAGCTCCTGTGCCTGAGC